AGAGAGAGAGAGAGAGAGAGAGAGGGGGGAGACGGGGGAGAGGGGATCAAGGGTATGAATAAGTTTATTTGAAAGCACTTGAATTTGTTACCATTAAATTTTTAGCACACGTTGTTTTTTTGGGGGGTTTTCTTTCTTTTTTGCCTCTTCCACTCGGTAGTGGCAGCCTTTTGAATGACCTTGTGTTCAGTACGGTGTTTAACTTCTTGCAATCTAGTCATAATTGACTTTGGCTTTTTTTTTACAGGGGTGTGCTGAAGATCAACACGTGTGACGGCCTTAGAAGCTGTTGGGACGCTCACACCAACTATGTTACACAACTGTGAGCGACATATATCATTCCAGTACTGCTGCAACTTCTGACGATGTGGAGGGATGTGGACCCAAAAATGGACATCCCTACTGGATGTTGGAGGGAAATTCCCTAAATAGGTTTTCTGACCGACACTTGTCAGAATGTTGCTTGTTTGAAATGATCAGGGCCTTCTTTTATACTTTTCTACTGTCTTTATACCTTTTATTTCCCTTTTTGAAAATTTTACAACAATAATCGGAGATCTGTTCATGCATCCATGGTGAAATAAGTCGTCTTCCGGGTATTCTGATAATGTTACCATAAATGTTATTCATAAGTAGAGAAAGTCTGTAAATATCACCCAGTCTTCTCCCATTATAATGCGAGTACCTTAAAAGCTGTTTCAAGCAGGGAAAAGGATATGTCTTTCCTAAAGTTTGATAAAGATAAGATAAGGATAAGATATGGATAATATGACAAAAGACATGGATCAGGTGGTAGCAGCAGTATAGTTTAGTCTCCCAAGAAGTACACAGAGTAGGCCCTATATTTCATCCTACTCTCTCCTGTTTATATAAGACTAAGTTTTTGATACAATTTAGTTGAGTACTCTGAGTTTTCAGACTCACTTTGTGAAATCAGAAATCTCGGAAATAAAACTTTATTTTATTAAAAAGCGCGGTTTTACGTTCCAGTATTCGCTGTTCTATTCCTTTGCTAATAATCATTCGTTAATAATAAGTCGGTGGATCGGCCGTATTCTACGGGGTAGGAAAGTCAATTTAAAAAAACCCACAAAAAGAACAACATTTTAACAGCTCAAATCGTAAAAGAACAAACTGATGTTGTCTATTATCGTACTCTGTGCTTCTTTTCTTCAGTTTGAGAATCTAAAATATGTCTTAACAACATGGATGTTTGACAGGGGTTGTTTTTTGTTTTTTTCTTTGTTTTTTTTTTGGGGGGGGGTGTCTTTTTCTGAATTTGTTTTCAGATAAAGCGTGCTCACACATTTTCATTTCATTTCTTTCTGTCCATTTCCTCACCAAAAATTTGAAAAATCCCAAATAAAAAATTATTTTGCAATGATCTACCGTTTCACTCCGTTCTTTAACTTTTATGTTGGTTTTGTAGTGGGATTTTGACCCTGAATTACTTTTTGGCTTTGACAAAAGAAAAGAAATCATTAACCCACTTTTTCCGTTTTTTTAAATTTTATTTATTTAATCTTTTAAAAATCTTTTA